CCAGGAAATGTATAAAGATGAGAGATATATACATTCTTTTTTATTGCTGAGTAATATACATTATTATTATATTGTGTATATAATATATAATATTATATATATTGGTATAATATATAATATGCTCGGTGATGTATGAAAGTGTTGAATCACTATATTGTACACCTGAAACTAATATTACACTGTATGTTAACTATACTGGAATGTAAAAACAAAAGAACTTAAAAATAATTCTCAATCTTGCTTTGTTTTTTAACTCCATTATCACTTCCTTAGGGAAGCTTTTCCCAGTCTCCCTGACCAGGTCAAATCCCTATAAGACAATGCTACATACTTTCCTTTCATAGCACTTAACCCGATTATAATTATACACATATTTGGAGGGCTGCTTGGATGTCTCGTCTCTACCAGGAGATTATAAATTCTCCAACAACTCCATCTATTCTTGCCCATCAGAGTATCTTTAGTGCTATCTCAGTTCACAACACTTATATTCCACACTATTTAATAAATGAATACGTAAGTGAATGATCTCTGGAGAGATGTTATATCCACATCTGAGAAATATGGAAATTGAGTCTCTGAGAACTTAAGGAATGTGCTCAAGGAACCAGACGTGGGTATGTGATTCCTGATTTCACAAACCAGGAAAAGCACCATCCCAAGGACTGGGAGGTCCTGCGTGGCACACAGTAGGTATCCAGTGCAGACTGGATCCAGTGTAGTGCTGAAGAAGTGAAAACAGAAGTGAAAGTAGGAAAGAAAAAATGGTGGACTTCGATATGGTTCTCAGTGTGACGAGAACAGTCTTGGCTGTGACACTGGACAAGTCACTTCACCTACCTAGGCCTTAGTTGAGCTGTGAAGCAGATGATACCCATATTCTGAAAATCAGGGATTCTGTGCTTCCAAAGTCCTCACACCTTGGGGCTCTGCCTAATAGCCGGCACCCACATATGGTAGCTGAGTTACTTTGCAGTCCAGATTTGACTTTATGCTTCGGATCATTTTTAATGCATTCAAAGAGTAATTATCACTATGCTACAAGAGGCAGTTGTAGGAGCAATTATATCAAGGATAACATATGGTGGCTACAAAAACAATAGAAAGTTATTGCAAGGTGTTAAGCATAGCAGATGGAGGAGAGTTGTTATAACCTTGACAGCTGACCCTGGGACTTCCAGATAGGTTACATAGTTGTATGCAAGAAAGCAAAGAACATCTGGCAGAAGGTTAACATTTCATAGTCTTCCATGGGACTTGTTTGCTTTGTTTTGTTTTTTTTTTCCAGACATAAAACTATTCCAATTTTTAATCTTGTTTTACAGAAATTGGAGACTTGGCTCTAAATTCAGCTGGCTCTGACCTGCTTCACCTATACTCACTACTAACAACAAGAAAGAATTTTTTAACTCACCAATTCCTGTCATAAAAAGCATTCACTTAATCCTTCACCTAAGAGCAGTTCATTATATTTTCAAAGTTCGTGGGGAGAATTCTACTCCAAATGTTACCATTTTTTATTTTTTTTATTTAAAAACATTTTTTTCTTTCATAGTTTATTGTAATTTGGGTTCCATATAACACCCAGAGCTCATCCCAACAAGTGCCCTCCTCCATGCCCCTCACCCCCCTTCCCCTCTTCCCCACCCCCACCAGCCTTCAGTTTGTTCTCAATATTCAAGAGTCTCTCATGGTTTGCCTCCCTCCCTCTCCCCAACTATTTTCCCCTTCTCCTCCCCCATGGTCCTCCGTTAAGTTCCTCCTAATCCCCCTATAAGTGAAAGCATATGGTATCTGTCTTTCTCTGTCTGACTTATTTCACTCAGCATAACACCCTCAAGTTCCATCCACGTTGCCACACATGGCCAGATTTCATTCTTTCTCATTGCCATGTAGTATTCCATTATATCGATAAACCACATCTTCTTGATCCATTTGTCAGTTGATGGACACTTAGGCTCTTTCCATGATTTGGCTATTGTTGAGAGTGCTGCTATGAACATTGGGGTACATGTGCCCCTATGCATCAGCATTCCTGTATCCCTTGGGTAAATTCCTAGCAGTGCTATTGCTGGGTCCTAGGGGAGTTCTATTGTTAATTTTTTGAGGAACCTCCACACTGTTTTCCAGAGGGGCTGCAACAGTTTACATTCCCACCAAAAGTGTAGGAGGGTGCCCGTTTCTCCACATCCTCGCCAGCATCTAGAGTCCTCTGATTTGCTCATTTTAGCCACTCTGGCTGGTGTGAGGCGGTATCTCAGTGTGGTTTTGATGGTTTTGTGGTTTAAATGATTCAGAAACTAATAAAAGGGAATCATGGATGGTCTCAGTCACTCAGCCAAGAGTTAGGTGGAAACCATAAGGAAAAAGGCTCCTTCTTTTCCCAACAAATGTGGAATTCTCTAACTAGCCAGAGATATATGCTTGTATCCTGACTGTCTCCTAAATTTACTCCCCACCAAAGTGCCTCACAATCTGGAGCTAGCTCACCTTTTCAGATTGATCCCTCACCCCCCTCCCTGACATCACCCGTACTCTGGCCTCCCAGCTCACGGTTTTTTCATGACTCCATGAGAAATATCCTAGATCCTGCAGATCCAGCTCAAACACCATTTTCTCTATGAACCTTCTGCTATGCTCTCAAGTATCCATGCTACCTCCTCCAAATTCCCACAGCATTTATCTATGGCCAGGTGGTAGCACTGATGGCCATCTGATGTATGTTGTGATTACTTGCCTGTCTCTGTCCGTTAGACCCTTCAAGATAGGGACCATGCCATATTCATCACAACACATACCCCAAGCACACAGCTGCATGCCTAACATTTAGAAAGTCTATTGCATTAAATACCATTTGGCAACTAATCAGTAGATGAATTCATCGTAATGGAAGAATAACTTCTATCATGTCAACCCATTTAATAAACTTTATTTTATCAGGGAGTTTTTAGTGACCTCACTTGAAGCCCAAAGAATGTCAGACATTTGGGGGTGCCTGGGTGGGTCAGTTGGTTAGGCATTCGACTCTTGGCTTCAGCTCAGGTCATGATCTCACAGTTTGTGGTTCGAGCCCTACATCAGGCTCCTCACTGACAGTGCGGAGCCTGCTTGGGATTCTGTTTCCCTTTCTCTGCTTCTCCCCTGCTCACTCTCCCCCTCTCTCTCTCTCAAAATAAATAAATATTAAATAAAGAAATAAAATGTCAAGCATTCTGACAAGCCAACAATGGAATTCTTAGAAAAAGTAGAAGGTTATTCTACTTACCGTTTAACCAAAATAATACAACTCTTTTGTATGCCAGACACAGAGTGGAACTTTGCATTTATTATCTCCTTTAATCTTGAAACAGTCCTATGAGGCATTGTTATTTCCATTTTCAAATGAAATAGTTGAGGTGTAAGTAGGTTAGTAAGTGGCAGGACTGGGAATTGAACTCAAGTCCTAAAATCTACATCTAAAGCCAGAGCTCCTCACCACCATGCTGTTCTCCACCCAGTTAGAGGGCCAGTCCCGGCCTCCATCTTTAGTGTTTTCATCCACCTCTTATCAATTTTAATTAATCATTAACATGACTTGCACAGAAACTTTCAGTTAAGTATTTCAAAATCTTACCTCATAGGCCCCTACCCCCCTTTACTCATGCTTATTATCAACATTTTAAGGACTCGCTTTATCCCAAAATTTTAAAGTAGGAAAATTGAGGGGTGCCTGAGTGGCTCAGTTGGTTAAGCATCCAACTCTTAATTTCGGCTCAGGTCATGATCTGATAGTTCGTGAGTTCAAGCCCCCATTGAGCTCTGCTCACAGCGTGGAGCCTGCTTGGGATTCTCTATCTCCCTCTCTCTCTGCCCCTCCCCTGTTCTCTCTCTCTCTCTCTCAAAATAAACATTTAAAAAAATAAATAAAATAAGTAAGAAAACTGAGCCAGAGAGCAGTTAAAAAATGTGGCCAAAGTCACAGAGCTCAACACAATGACAACACAGAGTGAACCAAGCCATTTAACTGTAGCACCCATGCACCACCAGATGCTTTCTTCAGGCATCCTGCATCACTCAGAAGTCCACACATCAAGGCACCTGACACTGTTACCCAGCAAGTCAATTCCTGAGTCAGTCTAGTTGCAGGGACAAAATTCACACATGAATGCAAATGCCTTCTTTTTGTAAAAAACAAAATCCACATGTCTTCTTACATATAATACTGAACTAAAACCTGTGCCAAACTGTAATTTCACCTCATCTGCTTCCTTTCGGTGGTCTCGATTCTGCCTCCATCACTAATTGGCATTGTCCTAACATTAGACCTGACTTCATTCTTTTAGGAAAACACAGATAAGTCATCTCAAACCCATAATCAGTTAGCCTGGTTGGTCAGATTCTTTTCTCATTTTACAAAGAGATAATGGTCCGCCATCATAGAAATTCCACATACAACATCTTGATATAGTAATAAGCACTAGTATTGACTGAATCCTTATATCATATCCCAGATACTATGCTACGCTTCTTTACCTGAATCCCTCATTTACATCAGCCTTTTTTTTTTTTAATGTTTTTATTTATTTCTAGGAGAGAGAGAGAGAGACAGCGTGAGCAGGGGAGGGTCAGAGAGAGGGAGTCACAGCCTCTGAAACAGGCTCCAGGCTCTGAGCTGGCAGTCAGCACAGAGCCCGACGCGGGGCCCGAACCCACGAACCGCGAGATCATGACCTAAGCGAAAGTCGGACGCTTAACCAACTAAGCCACCCAGGCACCCCTACATCAGCCTTTAAGTAGTCCTGTTTTCCAGGTGAGGAACTAAGCTCTGGAATGCTGAGAAACTTGCCCCAGGATCCAAGGTTGGGCCCAGATGTATCTGACTCCCAAGTCTGCACTCTTAACTTCTCAATGTATTCCCAGCCTCTGCTGCCATATGCTAGTCTTTTCCTCCAACGCCCCACCCCGGCCCCCACCTCGGTGATTAAAAACAGGATGAAAAACAAAAAAAGTAAACAGAGTACCTGATAAGGCCCAGGTCAACTCCATTCAAATCTACCATTTTTAGGATGACCATTTCTTTGTCAGTATTTGAAGAATACCTAGTCAGCAAAACAAAAAAACTCAGTCACTTCTATGTTAGTTAGAGCCTGGGATTCTTGTATGACCAACAGTAGAAACTGACACAAAAACTAAAACCAAAATGCCTCCAGCAAGCGAGGTTTCCTGATGTGCTGTAGTCTTACAAACCATATCCAGGAATTTATTCCTCAGCTAAAGAAATGTCTTGCAAATACCATCACAGTTAGGGGCATTAGGCCAACTAACTGGAGATGAAATTTATGTCTTTATGTAATGGACGTGATCTTATAGAACATATAGGTATTTCTTACAAAAGAGATTTGTCTTTGACATTTCTACTCCTATCAAATTTTAATGGAGTCTCTTAAACATAGCAGGAAATACGCAAAATCAAAAACATCCCTGACCTGCAGCTTAAAGTGTTATTTCATGTCCTTTCAGGGGAAATCAGATTATGTTTTCTAAAAATCAACTCCTTTGAAATGTACTGAAAAAATACGCAGACAAATGTAAAATGTCAAGTGCTCAAGTTGAAAGTGAGATATTATTTACAGCAGTCAAGTGCTTCTCTTCTGTTGCAAACCTGAGTCAGTACCTAAACGAACAAATAACCATCTGCCTCAGTTCCATTCAATTATGCTCATTTTATTTCTTGTTTTTCATTTCTATTTCTTTATCCTTTTATGTCCTCTCTCTTGCTCTCTTCTGCTGGATGGAGATGTTTCCTTCTGAATAATCTAATAAAAAGAGCTATTCATTAATTTAACAAATCCGTGTTGTGCACATTTTCATCTCCACTTTATTACAGAAGAAGCTGAGAGGCAATAAATTATGGTAAGTAAATCACTGAAGGTCACACAACTAGGAAATGATAAAGCAGAGATAAGACCATAGTCATGCCCGATTGCAAAACTGGGAGGCCTTCCAACATTCACGCTGACCCCAGCCACCAGCAGAGTGGGCAGATTGGCACGCAGGTCGGTGTGTGTTTCCACATTCAGTGTTTATTTCTACCAGTCGTAGATTATCAACATGTTTTGAGTTTATTTTAGCCTTCATACTCTTTCAGGATCCCACCATATTCCTTGAGTACCAACTGTGGCTTAGATTTTTGTTGCTGATCTCTCAAGGAAACCCGTGGCTTTATTGTGTTAACGCCCCTCACCTGGCTCGCTCTGACGGAGGATTCTGAAGGTAAGAAGAGGGGCTTCGGTTGATCTGTGTACCTTCCACATTTCCTTTGTTGATAAAGATTTTGCCTGGTTTCATATTTTGGTGTGCCATCTCAATGCTCTGTGGGTGAGAGAGAGAGCACACGCACCAGTTGTGAATTTGGACATCCTGTTGGATAAGGACTTAGTCAACAGAAACAGAGGAGCACTGTGGACCATTTCCTTGGTCTCTGAGCTCCCTCTGCTATGGAACAAGAGTTAGAGAACCACATAGCCAGTGTCCCTCCGGGGAGCACACAGATGGCCTCAGGGCTGAGACACAAGAATTGCTTTGACCTGGGAAGGTTACCTGAGTGTCTCAAAGCCGCTGAGTCAAACACCATTCGGTGTCCATCTGCAGGTTCAACTGGCCAAACTGGGAGCAACTCCCTCAACCCAGGACCAAGATTTGTTAACTTGAGGGTGTTCCATCCTCCTTACCCACTCCATACCCTCACCCTCTGAGGCCAAGTTTTTCACACTTTTCTGACTCAAAGCCACAATAAGCAACACATTTTTCATCACAACATAATACGCATCAACATATGTGTACTAAAACAAAAGTTCACAAAATACACCCTGCCTGTATGTTTTGCAACCCATGGACTTGATTTCATGAAGCCAGTTGTGAATTGCCATCCACGTTCGGGAAACATTGCGGTAAAGACATTTCTGCCTTTGCTGACTGGATCGCCAGGTTTGGGGATGACTTCATGAGAAAAAGTAGAGACACTAAATCTAGAAGGCAAAGGTATGAGGGAAACTTTAGAAAGGACCCCATGTGAGGAAATAATAAGCTTAAAGATGGGGAGAGAGAGGAGAAAGAGACACCCAAGCCAGGAATGGGAAGAGGGCTCACAGCCACTGGTAGGAGCATTGTGCCTTCTAGAGCTATCAGAGAAGACGTGAGAAATAAGGGTGTATGTTTATAAAGCAGATTGCCTGTCATGCTGTTTGGTAAATAAGAGGCAAGATTGGAATTACTTGTAATGACTTTTGGTTCCTTGATGGGTTCCTTTTCGTGTAACTTTGCGCAGAGACCAGACCACGTAGGGTGCTCTCAGTTATAAGGGTTACAAAGGAAATGTTTACTGTCCTTTTGGACAACAGCAGGAGGCTTCCTGCAGGAAACTGTCCCCTCTCAGTCAGTCAGTGCCTCGAAGACCAGAGCTCCTAGGTTGTCGGGGACAGAGAGGGGTAGGTGCTAAGACCACTCAGAGAGAGATCCAATAAGAACTGTTCCCATATCACCCAAACCACACCTGAACACTTGTGAGCAAGGGGAAGAACAGCTCCATCTGGGGCCCTTTGCCTACCTTCACAATGCCAGTGACCATGTACTCAAAGGTTCGATTGCTAAATCCTTCACTGGCGATTACAAATACAGTGTACTGGAAATACCCTCCTGGCCCGGAGTGTGTGTGACTGCCACTCAGGATGACGTTGTCTCTTCTGTACAGGGAGCCATATTTATTCTGCAGTCTTTTCAGGACCTTCAAGAGAAGAGAAAAAACAATAGAACTAAGATGAGGGAAAACACAGCAACTCACTATAGAAAAGGCTCCAATGAGTCTAATCAATGGCCCATACCAATGTCATCCCTGTTGAGTGGCTCTTCACCCTGTGCCGGTGTGTATCATCGTAGGCAGAACATCAACAAAACCACTAACTGTCAAGGCTAACATTTCACAGACTCTCTCCATACGCAAGCACAGCGTTAGCTATTACACACATTATGTTATCTTAAAATCTTTATAACAACCCCAAGAGGTAGGTATTTTTTAAACGTTTATTTATCTTTGAGAGAGAGAGAGCAGGGGCAGGGAAGAGGGAGAGGGAGAGAGAGAGAATCCCAAGTAGGCCCCAGGCTCTGTGCTGTTAGCATGGATCCCAGTGTGGGGCTCAAACTTAAGAATCGTGAGATCGTGACCTGAGCCAAAATCAAGAGACAGATGCTTAACTGACTGAGCCACACAGGTGCCCTAGAGGTAGATATTTTCAATCGCATCTTTTAGCTGAGAACACTGACATGTAAAGAAGATAAATAGTTTGCCCACTGCTCTAGTAAATATCCGAGCCACAACCTGGATCCGTGTCTCTCTAACTGTAGAACCAGTATGGTTTGCTGTTCATCATTCCACACATCATTCCACATTAACATCCAGGCACCAGTCCAAGCATGAGGAGGTATATGAGGTTCCTACCCTGATGAAGTGTTTATGCTAATGAAAATAAACAAAGAAGCATGTAATATTATTGCACACAGTGATAAATGCTATAAAGACAAATGTTTTTGAGTAAGAAAAAAGAGTGATGGGTGTTATTGAAGAAAAATCTTTTCAAAGATGCTACTTTCCACCAGAGACTTGAAGAGGATAAGCTGGTTGAACACCTACAGAAAGAATCCTGGGAGCAGCGAACAGTCATGTAAAGGCCTCTTTACTGCCCCCCTGCCACAGATGAAGAGCTCCATGTTCCCTGACACATACTGTCACACTTATTTGTCTGGGGGAAGCCAACCGTGGAGCCCTAAGGACACCCCAGCCACCCCCTGGGGAGGCCCATTGGAAAGGAACTATCTCGCCAGCACTAACGTGCTAGCCAAGTGGGTGTGCTCCCTCAGCCAAGCCTTCCAACACCTGCAGCCCAGCCGACATGTGAGTTCAACCCACAACACAGAAGTAGGTGTGTGTGTGTGCATGTGTGTGACTTCTGTTCTAATCTAAGTCAGAAACACCCAGTCCTGCCTCCCTGGGATTCCTGACCCACAGAAATCCTGAGCAGTAATTCAGGATGGTTGTTGCTTTAGGCCGCTGAGTTTTCCAGATGACTTGTTGTAGAGAAGGAGGTAAGTAATGCAGAGATACTCGGTAAGTGTTCACTGAACTCATTACGGAGTGAGCATCAAAATGCATGATAAGTGTGCTTGCAGGGCCCATACACATCAGGAAGACAACAGAGAGGAAATCTGTGATGCTGAGAACTAGCTTCTGGTTATGCTTTAATAAGCATCAACCTGAAATTGGGTATTATTGTGGCTTCCTTGTGAAGGGTGTTATGATTTTTTTTTTATTATTATGTCAAGGGGCACCTGGGTGGCTCAGCTGGTTAAGCGTCCAACTTTAGCTCAGGTCATGATCTCACAGTTCATGAGTTCGAGCCCCACATCAAGCTCTGTGCTGTCAGAATGGAGCTGACTTTGAGTCCTCTGTCTCCCTCTCACTTTGCCCCTCCACCACTCATGGTCTCTCAAAAATAATAATAATAAACATTAATAATTTTTTCCACATAAATTTTTTTGTATTTATTTATTTTTGAGAGAGAGAGAAAGAGAGAGATAGAGCATGAGCAGGGGAGGAGCAGAGAGAGAGAGAGGGAGACACAGAATCTGAAGCAGGCTCCAGGCTCTGAGCTGTCAGGACAGAGCCCAACGCGGGGCTCAAACACACAAACAGATCATGATCTGAGCCGAAGTTAGACCCTTAACCAACTGAGCCACACAGGCGCCCCTTTTCACACTTCTTTATGTCAAAAAATCACTAAAATGATCTAACAAAAGTGTCAAACCCAAAGCAACGTTCCCTGATGTAGGTTACAGTTAACCAATACCCAGCATAGGAATGACAGCACATTTATGGCAGGTGTCGTGAATATCACTTGTCACACGCACTCAGCCTTGTCTTTGGTGGTTGCTTTCAGGCGCAGGATGTTGAGAATGATTCTGAACCCAAACCTGGGTTTAGCAAAAAAGAGTGCATTTTCTGATTAGCAACACTGTCTACCTTGAGTATGGCATGGGCTGTCATACGCTGATCAACCGTCACACAGAAGGCAATGAAAAGCCCTCATTTGAATTACTTGCCAGTTTCTGTGATGTAAAGACTCCTCACCACCGTCAATTTCAAGCTACCAAAACTTAACAATAAGCTTACCAAGTTATTGAATATTTAACAGCCAGCCCTCATGAGCTGGTGCAAGACAGTTCCAGAACACACTTGGTACATAAGGAAGTAGCCACAACTTACAGGCTATATACTTAAAACACATAAAACATCTACCAGTCTCTTCTATTTTAGGGGAAGAGCTACACTGCCCTCATTCTACTCATATGGTCATTGAATGAGGAAGATCTTACAAAGGATGTTGCCTCATTAATCAGTCCGTGCCCCAAACACCAATTGCTAGGTTACCATGTCCACATACACAATCCTGTGATGCCAGGCAAATGTGAAAGGAAATATGATATGACCTGACTAACGTCCTCTGACCAAGTAGCCCACATTCTCCATCCCAATAAGTTTCCATGCTGCTTCTGTGTGACCCAGATCCAGACCACACTCTTCATCACCCTTATGCCTTCTTCTAAAACAGTTAATGACAACATTCATGAATGAGAAGCCCATCACCAAAGGGGTACCACGAAATCTCGACTAAAGGCTGCTGTCGAAAGCTAATGTTCTCACAGTTCTGTAAGCAAGACAGGAAGGTAATGAAAAAAAGAACTTCTGGTGAACCTTAAAGCTCTACGAACCCCTTCCTACTTTTATTCCTAGAGAATGTTAGGATTTTAGAATTAAGTGTACTTCTTCAGGTTTACACAAGAATCAAGCTCTTAGAAAGAAATTATGGGGCTCCTGGGTGGCTGCATCGGTTAAGCATCTGACTTTGGTTCAGGTCATGGTCTCACAGTTCTTGGGTTCAAGCCCCACGTCAGGCTCTGTGCTGACAGCTCAGAGCCTGGAGTCTGCTTCAGATTCTGTGTCTCCCTCTCTCCCTGCCCCTCCCCTGTTTGCTCTCTCTTTCTCTCTCTAAAAAATAAATAAACATTAAAAAACAGAAAGAGAAATTATGGTGCTCAAATTTTATAATAAAAGAAAAAGACCACAAACAACTCCCAAAACTTGTATCCTAAACTACATTCTCTGTATGAAGTCAGACACGGGGGGCTTCAAGAAAAAGAAAAGAAAAATTCAATCATCTAGCAACAATGCCTGCCAACAACTGTGGTAAATAACAGGTTTCCTACTTCATGAGAGGAGGGGTGTTTTAACAAAATGAAGAAGTTACCTTAATGTCTACAGCTCACTTCTGTGTTCAGTTTCCATTCAGTTTCCTATTACTGACACACCTGGGAACCTGCCGTAGGAAGACCTGGAAAGCCACTGTTCTCCTGCCCTGCCTCACTGCTCAGAGGTCTTCCAGAACCTTCATTCCATGCTGGAAATGCCATCAATCCTCAAAGCTGAGGCTGAGAACCTGCCTACAACCAGGTATTATAAGGAGGCATGAGGGCAATCGTTCAGCTACATTCATTCTTCACTCCTTCCCTTGGATTAACCTGGGATAACGAGATGGGTTCATTTAAAGCCCTTCCACCGGGTCTGAGATTCCACAGGGAAAGTAAAAATAGGAAGAGATGGTGAAATGGTGGACTGTTGACTTCATAGCCTCTGCAACCCAACACATTAATCCTATCTCCCCTCCACACCCTACCCCCAAATTCCACTTTTGACTCTCCCATTTCTTCTCATGACCCCACCACTTCCCAGTGAGAACCATCTCTGATCCTTCAGAAAAATGGCAAGCGTCATGGTAATGAGTGTGGGCACTGGCACCAAGATGCCTATGCGTACACCCAGCTCTGACAGCTTGGAGCTGGCTCAGCGCAGACAAGTTCCCTGATCCCCTGCAGCTCGTGTTTCCCAATCTATCAAATGACATAATGATAGCACCTCCCTCCTCCAGTTGTTTGGAAAATTGAATTCATTAATGGATATGAAGCAATTAGGCGTGACTCATCATGGGAACTATGCAAGTTTTAGCTTTTATTTCTATTCATTCTCAAACCTCATTCACATTTAATGTGACCTCTTACTACCTACCAGGTAGCCTTGCGGCCACCCCACTGATTTAACACCTTTGTGCCAGCCTCATGTGGTAGAGGGGAAATTTCTAGGCAAAGTTAAAATCATTTCCTGCAACCCTACCTTCCCTTACTAGTTCATTCAGCCTTCCAACATGTTGTAAAACTCTCCTGTGTTCAATCTCCTTTGTTTGAAATACCGAGTTTGATTACCGTTTTCCCAACTGGATCCTCACCAGCAGAGCCTTGGTATTAATTTAACGAAGCTGCCAATTTGTGTCCTGGCCTCCAGCCTCAGTCTATCTCATCAAACACCACTGTCTGATTAATCATTCTAAAGCAAAATTGGGTTTGCATTACTCCACTCAAAAGTTTTTGCAGAATCCCCATCACTTACAGAAGTAAAAATAAACCAGCATCCCAGGCCCTCTACAATTATGATCAACATACCTTCCAGGCATATTTCTAATTACATGTGTCCTAATAGCACAAAGTCCTATGCTTGCAAAGGAGTCTACATTCCTCCCTTCTGCCTCCTTGTGGTAATGCTGTGCCCTCCATCTGATAGCTCTTCCTCCTCATGTAAACCATTTAAAATTCCTCCCATTAAGATAAAGAAGACATGACATGTGTCTGTGTGTGCGTGCATGCAGGCACACGCGTGCACGCACACACAGACACAGACAATGGAATATTACTCAGCCATCAAAAAGAATGAAATCTTAACATTCGCACCAACATAGATGGATCTAGAGAGTGTTATGCTAAAAGAAGTAAGTCAGAGAAAGAAAATACCATATGATCTCACTCATATGTGGAATTTAAGAAACAAAACAAATGAACAAAGGGAAGAAAAGAGACAAGCTAAAATACAGACTCCTAACTATAGAGAATGAACAGAGGGTTACCCGCGAGGAGATGGGTTAAACAAGTGAGAGGGATTAAGAATACACTAAACTTGATGAGCACTGAGTAATGTATGAAATTGTTGAATCACTATACTGTACACCTGAAATATAACTCTACTGTTAACTATACTGGAATTAAAATAAAATTTTGTCCTTTCAAATGTCACATCCACTGTGAAGTCTTTCCCTACTTTCCATTTTCGAATCCCCCTTGTGGTGGCTTAAAATCACTGTGTGTCTACAAGTTCCTCACTCCTCCTCCCTTTAAGAGGGGAGGCTCTACTGTCCTATCCCTGGATGTGAAATGGACTTGGTACTTTGCCTCCAATGGACAGAATAGGCTGGGAGCTCAACTCCTGAGCACAAGTGTGGCTTCCTCCCTTCTCTTTCTCTTGAGTTACTCACTTTGAGGGAAGCAGCCATTCTGGGCTACAAGGATACGGAAAGTGAGAAACGAGAAACTGAGGCCTTCTACAAGCTGCCACACAAGTGAGTCATCTTGGAAGTGGTTCAATCAAGGCTTCCAATGACTGCGGCCCTTGCCAACACCTTGATTTCAAGATAGCCTAAGCCAGAACCACCTAGTTAAGCCAGTCCTGATTTCCTGATCAACACAATGTATGCGATGATGTTTATTGTTTTTTTAATGTTTATTTATTTTTGAGAGAGAGAGAGAGAGAGAACAAGCCTGAAAGTGGGGGAGGGAGGGGCAGAGACAAAAGGAGACAGAAGATCCAAAATGGGTTCTCTGCTGAGAGCTGAGAGCCCAATGCAGGGCTCAAACTCACAAACCATGAAATCATGCAGGGCTTAAACTCACAAATCATGAGATCATGACCTGAGCTGAAGTCAGATGCTTAACCAACTGAGCCACCCAGGCGCTCCTAGATGATGTTTATTGTTTTAAACCACCATATTCTGGAGCTATTTGTTACTCAGTAGTAGATAATAAAGTGGAGATAACAACAGACCCACCTCATAGTTTTGTTTTAAGTGTAGGAGTGGGGAAAACATGTAATACTTGCTCCTCAGATGTCCATAGATGGGGGAGAATTCCACTCCATTCCCCAAGAAGGAGAGATATCGGAGAAGTATTTCTAGGGCCTCCCTCTCCCTCTCATTGGCCACTTCACACAGGAGGAGGAACGGTGTTTAACAGTGAGCTAATAGAACATGACAGTGAATGGTGGGCATTTAATGGTCACTGTCCTATGTGCTCTAGACCCTCATCTTCCTCACCTTCATGACGGTGCAAACAGATGCTTAGAGAACACATTCTCTTTCTGTGACCTGATCCCATACAGAAAAATATAACTGGGTCAGGGCCAAGAATCTGGCTTAGAAAGACAGACCTGAGAGTCCAAGTCCGTCACCCTGTGTCCTCTCTCCCTCTAAGCATCTTACTGTTACCTGCCCAAGACCTACGGGCACCTTTCTGCTAAGCTCAACCTTCCCCACAGCTGGGTAACATGGTCTCAATTCAGGGAAAAATCACACAACAGCCTGTCATTTTCTACAATAGTGCTTAAAGAGTGAGAGAGCTAATATTGTATTCTTTCTAAATTTTATTATGGAAATTTTCAAACATGTACAAAAATCATCTGAAGAGCATAATGAAACCCCCATCTACCTCTCACCCAGTTCGTAAAGGAGATTTATGGCCAATCTCATTTTACTGGCATGTTTTCATTCTCATCTATCTCCTTGCATCTACTCTTGATCGTGTAAAAACTCAAGGGAAGGGTTAGTTATTAATTGGAGCTCTCAGGATTCTAACTAGGAGGATTAAATAAGAGACTATATGTGAAGGTCACCAGAACATAATAAGGTTTCAAAACACATTATCATTAGTAATGACAATGAGCCATCAACAAAATTGAAAGCAAGTTTTGACCAAGATGGCGTCGACTGGAATTGTTTGCTGGACAATTGTCTGCTGGATTGTCAAGAGCTGATAATGTGGAGGGCAGTAGAAACTCCCTGGATGAGAAGCCAGGAGGGCTTCATTATTGTCAAGGTCACCCACAGACTTTTCTTTTAAATCATGTCATTTCTTTTGTTACCTCAATCACTTACCTCTAGCCTGAGTCGTTGGGATACCATGCCTATGTCGATGCTGACAAACACCACTCGATTTGACCCATCGGGTTCTGCCAGGACAAAAGCACGACTGTACAGCCTGGTGAGGATGCCCCGTGCATTCTGGCCCGTTTTGCTGAAGCCCATCTAGAGAAGAGGAGAAAGTCAGGGCCACTCTGTCTCACTGCCCTGCCACGAGAACCATGCACAACCACACGAGAAGAGACCACATAAGAAAGAAAAGCACAATCCACAGGACACTGTGGCTCTGAGTGAGATGATAATATGTGTTTTCAAGAGTAAAACCAACCTCATAAAAGAAGTTTCACTCCTCTGTTACAAAAAAATGCAAAGGCAAAGTAGTGATCAGTTTGACAGGAGCCATCTACAGTCTATGTGCAATGAAGGGGTCGGTGTGTCTTAGGAATTCCATTACTAATTACCATAGCAGAGACCTTTCAGAGCTTTTGGTTCTTTTCCCTTGCCTGAGGTATTACAGAAGGGAATAGTTCTCCTACCACTATCCCACATTTCCAGGAGCATCCTGAAGACTTAAGTTTCCTTCACTTTGACTGTTTGGTGTATGTATGATTTTCTTTTTTTTTTTTTTTCCTGAAGAAAATAGTTTCTTTATGACTCAATAATCTTTTTATTTTTTATTTTATTTATTTATTCTGAAGGTGGGAGAGAGAGAGAGAGAGAATGAATGAATGAATGGGTGGGGTAGGAGCAGAGAGAGAGAGAGAGAGAGAATCCCAACAGACTCCATGCTGTCATCACAGAGCACACAGGGCTCTATCTCACAAACCACGAGATCATGACCTGAGCTGAAACCAAGAGTCAAACATTTAACTGACTGAACCACCGAGGCACCCCAATAATCTTTTCTGAGGGTACCTCACCCTGGCTTTTACCTTGTTGACCATTCCTCAGCCAAGTCAGACAAAATACACCTTTTCCAACCCCCCTTTACACCATGTATAAGACCCACCCATAAAGCTATATCCCAGTATTCAGAACACTCCCTCCACTGCTTGTTCATTGGAGTGTTCATTCAGGGTTCACATTTCAAAGCCACTTTTCAGAACAGACAGCAAGGAAAAATTCCTAGAATCTAAAGGTTATTTGGTAGGAGGAAGAAAATCTCATCAGACAACTTCATGTTCTAGCTTCCTAGAAAAAAAGTTGATATGAATGAATACATTCACCATCACAGCCAAGAGGTTGCATGCCAGCAGCCAGTGGGACACACCTGACCCACAGAAGCATTTTGCTTGGCTTACACAGTGTTGTCCAATACTAGGTTTCCAGTTTTGACTAGAGTTGCCTGTATTTCCCAACAGAAAGATTTAGATCTTCAGGTCTCCAATTCAGAGATTTTCCAGCTCTCCTGAACAAACTGTAGGATAGGGCAGCCCTACGTGGTAACAAGTGCTAAAGTCATGAACTTTCTAGTTGTACCATAGTCTCCACCACTTCCCACTGCCCCCAAGGCTGAGGGTTCACTAGACTCTTATCAGCTTACACTGGCCTGGTGGTACATGAGTTTGCCAGCCCTGCCACTCTCATTCGTAAAAATGGCCAACTGACTTTGCAAAGGACTTGTGGTTGAATGCATGGTCCCTCTACTTTATATAGCACAATACTCACAGTGTTAGACAGCACTGAAGTCAATGAAAAAGCAGGAGGAAGACAATGATGTAATAATAAGGAATAAATGCAGGATGCAAGTAGTAAAAGTAAAGTACTTGTTTCATTCTCCTCGAGGAGCCCATGATTTACCTACCAAATTGATATCTGACACTTGTCCTGTGCAGTCAGCTCGCCCAACACCAATATGGTAGCCACTGAAGTTCTGAAATAGAGGAGGCTCTGGGGTGCTAGTCAATGGGGGTGTCTGGGTGGCTGTGGAGCTGTGAGTGAGCGTCGAGCCTTGAGTGGCTGTGGAGCCCAGCGTGGCCGGAGGGCTCTGGGTGACCGGAGAACCTGAATCTAAAAGCAGAATAAAACATTTAAGAAACAGCATTTCATCTTGATGAGGTCCCAACAGTTTATTTTTGCTCTTGATTCCCTTGCTTTTGGGGATGTGTCAAGTAAGAAGTTGCTGCGGTGGAGGACAGCCAAGGAAACAACCCAGAAAATTAATAGGCAACCAACGGAATGGGAAAAGATAGTTGCAAATGACATATCAGATAAAGGGTTAATATCCAGAATCTATAAGGAACTCACCAAACTACACGCCCGAAAAACAAACAACCCAGTGAAGAAATGGGCAGAAGACATGAACAGACACTTCTCCAAAGAGGACATCCAGATGGCCAACAGACACATGAAACGATGCTCAGCATCCCTCCTCATCAGGGAAATACAAATCAAAACCACACTGAGATACCACCTCACGCCAGTCAGAGTGGCTAAAATGAGCAAATCAGAGAACTCTAGATGCTGGCGAGGATGTGGAGAAACGGGCACCCTCCTACACTGTTGGTGGGAATGTAAACTGGTACAGCCCCTCTGGAAAACAGTGTGGAGGTTCCTCAGGAAACTAACAATAGAACTCCCCTATGACCCAGCAATAGCACTGCTAGGAATTTACCCAAGGGATACAGAAATGCTGAGGCATAGGAGCACATGTACCCCAATGTTCATAGCAGCACTCTCCACAATAGCTAAAACATGGAAAGAGCCTAAGTGTCCATCAACAGATGAATGGATCAAGAAGATGTGGTTTATCTATACCATGGAATACTACATGGCAATGAGAAACAATGAAATCTGGCCATGTGTAGCAACATGGATGGACCTTGAGGGTGTTATGCTGAGCGAAATAAGTCAGGCAGAGAAGGACAAATATCATATGTTTGCACGTATAGGAGGATTAGGAGGAACTTGACGGAGGAACAAGGGGGAGAAGAAGGGGGGAAATGGTGGGGGAAAGGGAGAGAGGCAAACCATGAGAGACTCTTGAATGCTGACAAAAACTGAGGACTGATGGATGTGGGGGGGAGGGGGGGATGGGCATGGAGGAGGACACTTGTGGGGATGAGCACTGAGTGTTATGTGGAAACTAATTTGACAATAAACTATTTGTAAAAAAAAAAAAAAAAACAGCATTTCAGTCCACGTATTTGTTGGCATCATTTAGAACACAGAGGCTCGGGTTCCTAAGGAAAAATCTTTATATATTCTCTTTTATTTAAAATATACAGCAAGTGACTAATGGATCAAGAAGATGTGGATGGATGAATGGATTTATACAATGGAATACTACATGGCAATGAAAAAGAATGAAATCTGGCCATGTGTAGCAACATGGATGGACCTTGAGGGTGTTATGCTGAGCGAAATAAGTCAGGCAGAGAAGGACAGATACCATATGTTTGCACGTATAGGAGAATTAGGAGGAACTTAGTGGAGGACCAGGGGGGAGAAGAAAGGGAAAAATAGCTGGGGAGAAGGAGGGAGGCAAACCATGAGAGACTCTTGAATGCTGAGAACAAACTGAGGACTGATGAGTATTGGGGGGAGGGGTGAGATGGGCATGGAGGAGGGCACTTGTGGGATGAGCACTGGGTGTTATTTGGAAACCAACTTGACAATAAACTATTTAAGAAAAATAAGAAACCTCTCGGGAACATGTTTTACATAAGTAATAACCCTAAAAAGGATCTTTCTGTTGAGCTAGAGATGTTTCATCCTAACAGTCAAGGCCTGTGTCAAATGTCTGTCAGCTTCTCATCACAAGCTGTTCCTTGTCACACCCGTGGCCCTTCACTCACTCCTGATGGGCTTCTCCAGCCACACAAACCAGGTTCCTCAGGTGCCAGCCTCTGGGGTCTGTCTCCACAGCTCTCTCCAACCAGAGACCCCGCTCCTCCCTGTTCCACCAATAGCGCTCCAAGCCTCCCTTCCAAGCTGGTTCATTCCCATCACACCCAGAGGCAGCTCAGCCCTCCTGTGTGGATTACCTCCCACCCTGCTGTCTCTACTCTGCATCCACAACCTTCTCAAGCATTTTATTTGGAATACAAACTAGATCACTGCATGTTCAACAACGTTCCAGCTTATTGTAATCATATCGCCAACACGCATATGCCCATGCACACACATACACACGAATATCAAAGGAGGCAGAATGGCAGGAAGACTACAAGAGCAGGTGCCAGAAACAAACAACCTGGGTTCAAACACTGACTCTACCACATACTACCTGAACATACTAGCTGAAATCACTTACCCTGTTCTACCTCAATTTTTCTCATCTAGAAAATAGAGGTAGTAGTACTCTACCTTCCTAGGGTTCTTTTGAACAATAAATATATTAATACGTATCAAAAATTTAGAATACGGCTGGCATATAGCTTTGGTTCTTCTTACCTACTGAGGTGTCTTACACACACACGTTATTTGTTTGTTTCCACTCAAGACAACAGCCGGGGTGACCAAGGCAACAGATGTCACTGTCGCAGGCATTAGTGCTCAAGGAGTACTTAGTCAAGAGATTGGCTGCTGACTACCCTGGGATCCTAGAATTTGGTGGGTCAAGAAAAGCTAGAGATCACCTAGTCTGTTCTCCTCTGCTTTACATATAAGAATACTAAAGCCCAGAGAAATGATGTAACCACGATTTAATGGAGAACACGTGCGAAATCAGGTGTAGAGCCCAGATACTCCAACTCAGAATCTAACGCTCTTTCATCAATATTCAACGTGGAGTTAGAATCCATATTTTCTTGGGGTGCCTGGGTGACTCAGTCAGTTAAGCGTCCGACTTCGGCTCAGGTCATGATCTCACAGTTCGTGGGTTCGAGTCCCACGTTGGGCTCTATGCTGACAGCTAGCTCAGAGCCTGGAGCCTGTTTCGGATTCTACATCTCCCTCTCTCTCTGACCCTCCCCTTCTCATGCTGCCTCTCTCTCTCTCTCTCTCTCTCAGAAATAAATAAAACATTAAGAAAATTTTAAAAAAAGAATCCATATTTTCTCAACCCCAAGTCAATGTTTTCCACAAGACATCAAGTATTGCAAGGAAGGAGGCAATCCTTTTGCCTTATTGATACCAACATAGGAATGGGGCATCAATTTTGACAATCAAAACCAAACCAAGTCCAATGGCCAAGGACAATTTCCTGATAACCTCAGAGTCTCAGGGTCTACATCCAGAAAATGGTACTAAGTCTAGCACCTACCTTTATAGAAGTTTTATGAGAATTAAGTGGGAAAAGGATGTACACTCCTGACCACAGTGCTTGACACAAAGCAACCATACATCAAACAGCCACTCCTACTATGAGACTAGTTAGCATAATTGCTGATCACCTCCATGAGTCTCAGCCTCTGGATTCTCTAACTTTAAGAGCTAAAGCTGAATAAGTCCAATAGATGCTTTCTTTATCAGAATCCACAACCCTGTGCTGGCACAGAGGATTTCTATCCCTCTGTGTCTGTAGGGAACTCAAAGCACAGGGTCATGGTAGAGAATATGCCAGAAAGGAGAAGAGACCCCAAGAGAGAAAACTGAGGTGAAAAAAAATCAGGCTTCTTCTTTGTTTGGCCTAAAGATAGTCCTCCCTTTACTTCAGTAAAAGCATGCAATGCCCACCCGTCTTCTCTACTCATTTATCAGGTATACAACCCATCACGAAAGTAGGGCTCCATCAAAGACCTAGGAGCCGAATATTGCTGCAAATGTGTACTGCATCATTTTCAAAAACTAAATTAATTCCCAATATTTTAAAAAATCAAGAGATGCCTAAATCCTCCAATTTCCAGCTTCTGTTGAAAACTCTGGAGATCTGAGTCCATGAGACACCATGACAACTAACACCTTCACCAGAATCACACCTGCCCCTACCCCGGTCCACCTCCCCACCCCACCTCATTTACAGAACTTGATCGGCCCTCATGAGAATTGGAGTTCAACAGCCCCTTCTCTAAAACTTTCCACAGACTACTTGGTATTCAGTGGGTCTTTCATTCCGCTTTTGTCCCCAAGAGAAGACGATGCCCAAGAAAAGGCAAAGAACAAGAGAAGAGGCTTGGGAGGGAATGCTCACATTACTGGGCTTTGAAGAATTCTAAACCGGGCTTAGGTCAGTGGAGAAGTGAGACAAGCACATGTCAGAATTCCTGTCAACTGCCTACTTGGGGGCAAAGGTAAGTCTGATAAAAATTGCTGTTGATGCAGACAGTACAATTAATAGAAGGGTTTTGTGGCCATCCCAGGTTGCTTACGTATGCACTGAACTGCCCTGTTATTGACATTATCAGCAGAAACTGTTCCTTGCCTTTGTGTCCCCATTCATCCAGAATTTTCCCACAGGCTAGGGATAGCATCCAAGGGAGCCCATGACAACTTGCCTTTATGATTTTCAATGGTCCCACTGGTGATAAACAAGAGGCTGAGGAGGGCTACGGTCACGGCAGTCATCATCACAAGGAGGAAAATCAGGAATGCCTCTAATGTGGAGAAGGTGAGTTTGGCCATGTCTCCTGAGGAAAAGCAGAAATGGAAGAGGCAGAAAAGGGCAGAGCCACGAATTAAAAACACATATGCTTTGAGCTGCCCAAGGTTAAGATGCCTTAGCTCTTCTAGAATGGACTATACACCAGGGAGGGCAAACATAGAGCACACCTGTCACATCCCAGGCCATGGCAGACAAGACAAACCAAATACAGCACCCTTTGATAAGTTCAGATGTGGTTTCCAAACACTTCCTGGAACAGCCCTTGTTCTAGAGAACCACCCATCATTTGGCATTGGCAATGAAGCTAAAAATATATTTGTATTCCTTGGCTGTATCATACAACTTTCATTTATGGTGACGATGTTATCTGCACATGGGCCTAGGTTGGAACACATCTGTCAACACGATTGATTGCTCTTGTGAGAAAGCTGGCTGTGGTGAGGGCTGTGCTCGTGGCCTCGGGAAAACAAGGAGGTGAAACAAACATGGAGCCTTGAAACTCTATTTGCTAACTTTCAATTCCTACTTGATGAGAAACCAACATGGAAGAGGGGCGGCATCTCTGCTTTCAAGCCAGACATTAGGAAAATCTCCCTCTTCGTCATTAGAAGGATTCACACATTTTGCAAACCTGTTGAAGGATGGGGACGAAGATAATGCTCCTGTGTTCTACAAGAGCAGAAAATGTCCTTACAGATGCCTGAAGATATTTAGGAGTAGGATTCATTGTTACTCAACGAGGCTATAGAAGCTAAAAATCCATATTGTGTAGCAGGAAAAAGTATAACATGGTGGCTAAAAATTGAATTCTGCCTTCTGACTCCAGAGTCCAAATCTCATTTCTACCACTTACTGGATGGCCTTGGGGAATCCTCCCAAACACTGAGCCTCAGTTTCTCTATCTGTAACAAAGGATGTGGTGATGATGATAATTTTAGTAGTCTTATAGAGTTCTTATATAAAGGAGATGACACTGTATCCTTTAGATGCAGCATGCATTCTCCAGCCTACCACAGCCTCTTTCCAGTGGATCTTTTCCATCTAAGTTATTACCTGGTCTTTGTAGTTATTTTATTGGGCAATCCCTGGACTAGAGTTTAAAAATCAGTCTAACATCAAACACTTCAGAGGTAGGGCTGAACTGGAAGTGGACGAAGAGACTGGAACATCTTCCCAAATCTCTCAGTTAGTAGCAGGCTTTCCTCATCCATTTATCGTCACTGTGATCACTTTCACTACCACTCTTAGGGACAATTTCAAATGTAGGGCAACACATATGAGTTCTGACATTGGCCCCAACATTCACTCCAGTTCCCAAGAGTCAAGAGACACATCTAAAGTATGCCTTTGAAACTCCGATGATCCAAATAAGTTTACTAGTCCTTAGGTGCTGTTTCAGTGGCCAACCTCAAACCCAGTACACCCAGTTCTTTATCAAAGCTTCGGGTCCATTAGGCGTCCTGCTGGCTGGGATTGCAAGACCAACTGGGCAACTAAACATGGCTGACGACGGGGGATCTCCCAACCCCAGAGTGTCTACACGCACATTGCATATGTAAACATGGCCACATGCAGACACGGTTCAAAATCATACTCTTGTTTGTTTGTTTGTTTGATTGATTCTGATGAACTGATCACCACCAGCAACCTTTTACACAAGTCAACAATGGCACTCTACTTAACACTTGAGTTTGCATCTCTTAGTCGAGTTTCAATGAGGCACCTCCCTGGGTCTGGGCCTCACCACTCTGTTGCCAGAATTAATGCCAACATTGTTAATGTTCTTTTTTAAACAGTAAGCACTATTTATTTTTCCTTGATGACCCGAAATCTGAGGGCAAATGTGAAAGAAAGCCAATGCCTCATCTGCCTTCAGCATGCAAACATACCACGGAGAGCTGAACCACCAGTGGTTGTAACTTAAAAGATTTGGCGTTTCCCACTGGTTCTCCCCTGATCAAGTGCAATTCTGCAAGCTCCGTGATGAGGCTCTGTGACAATAGCAAGCCCCTTGGCACATCTTTACCACGCTGAGCTCTCTGTTTTTCTTTTTTTCTTTTTTTTTTTTTTTACAAATAGTTTATTGTCAAATTAGTTTCTACATGAGCTCTCTGTTTTTCAAGACTGTGAGAGTAAAAGGTAATGACTTGGCAAAATGGGTTTCCCAAGCTAAGAAAATTGAATGGAGCTTTTAGGATTTCATCAAGATCGCTAAGACAGGGGGGTGATTCAAGATCCCTCCCTCTCCCTCCAAGAACACATAGGTATTCTTACCTGACTCAACCAATTAAAAGAAATTCCGCATCCCAGCAAAGCAAATGAGAGTCCAGAATCTCGTTCCTTTCCCCTTGCACGTTGCTCAACCCAGAGTCCTCAGCACGTTCTGAAACCTACTGAGGAAAGATGTTCCCAGTCATGCCCAGGAGAGTTAGGGTTCTCATTAGCATACGTTTGTGGGCTTGGTGCAGGAGGAGATTAAAGAGAATTGATAACAAGAGCCTTATCCGCAAACTCTCCCCTGGGACAGCCTGATACTGAGATAGAAGTTGCAGAAGATCTGGCGGACTGAAGGTCACTGATTTCAGTCTTTACACACCTCTCAGTACAAGTTCTGTGCAAGGTCTGTGGCCTGGCTCACCAAAAAGAGCACCTGCTTTACTTGCCACTGGTCACTCAAGCAGAGAAGAGTGATTTAATTTTTATAGATTCTTGTATATAAAAAGGATGAGGTTTTACAGGTGCCTGTGTGGCTCAGTTGGTTAAGTATCCAACTCTTGATTTTGGCTTAGGTCATGATCTCATGATTCAGGAGTTTGAGTCCCGCGTCAGGCTCCACACTGAGAGTGCGAAGCTTGTTTGGGAATCTCTCTTTCTCTCTCTCCCCCTCTGCCCCTCCCTGCTGCCTCTATCTCTGACAAATAAATAAATAAACTTAAAAAGAAATGAATGAGGTTTTAGGTGAACTAAGAATGTGAACAATGGATACACAATATACATGTGCATAACGTGCAGCCATTACCAGTTATATAGGAGTGAATAATTTAATAACATGGAAAAAGTTACTACAGTAAGTTATTTAAAGTTTATAAGACATTATAATCCTGTTTTTAAATTTTATTTTTATTTTTAATAACTTTTTAAGTGTTTTATTGTTTATTTTTGAGAAAAAGAGAGAGAGAGAAAAAACAGAGCATGAGTGGGGGAGGGGTAGAGAGAAAGGGAGACACGGAATCCAAAGCAGACTCCAGGCTCCGAGCTGTTAGCACAGAGCCCGACACGGGGCTCAAACTCATGAGCTGTGAGATCATGACCTGAGCTGAAGTCAGATGCTCAACTGACTGAGCCACCCAGGCACCTTTATAATCCTGTTTTTTCAAACATTACTTATCTATGTGTGGTCATGAAGACTGTAAGAAATCACAGCAAAATGTTAAGAAGTAATTATCTGGTAATAAGACTGTGAGTTTTGTTTTCAACTTTTTGATTTTTGGTATTTTCTGTAAGGGCCATGCACATACTTATAATGGGGAAAATAAAATGTTTTACCTCCTCTCAAAAAATGTATACTATAGAACAGCATGAAGTTAAACAATGGCCCATGAGAGACAAAGAGAAAAAGAATAGGCCAAACCCCTCCTTTTTTCCCTCCTAATTCCAAGCTGTCCAGGAAGCAGTTTGAAGAACACATAGGCCACTTAGTTCCTTGCAGGGTTAAGAGAGACCAGCCCCCAAGTTCCAAGGGAAATATTAGAAATATTTCATAATGTGGCTTAGCTACCTCTCTGTACACGGCGGGGGCGGTGGGGTGGGGAGGGCGGGTGGCACCGGTTAAATTACAGTATTAAATGAGGGTTTCTTTCATGCGTTTATGTTAGAATTCTTGGTGTCAAGCAGCAGAGGGTAAATCTAGCGAATTTAAGCAGCAGAGAAAGGGGAGAAAAGTAAATTCACTGGAAGGCAGCAAAAGTGGTTGAAGACACAGGCCCTGAAAAGCCAGTGATCAGGGTAGATCAAGGTGGGAGGAGCTCCTGAACATTCTCTTTAGAGCATCGCCATCATGGGAATGCCAACAGTGCAGACACTCTGGAGAACAGTGTGGAGGGTCCTCAAAATATTAAAGATAGAACTACCCTATGACCCAGCAACTGCACTACTAGGTATTCATCCAAGGGATACAGGTGAGCTGTTTTGAAGGGGCACATGCACCCCAGGGTTTATAGCAGCGCTATCAACAGTAGCCAAAGTATGGAAAGAGCCCAAATGTCCATCAACAGATGAATGGATAAAGAAGCTGTGGTATACACACACACACACACACACACACACACACACACACACACACACACACCACTCAGCAATCAAAAAGCATGAAATCTTGCCATTTGCAACAACATGGATGGAACTGGAGGGTACTATGCTAAGCGAAATTAGTCAGAGAAAGACAAATATCATATGATTTCATTCATATGTGGAATTTAAGAAACAAAACAGATCAACATAGGAGAAAGGAAGAAAAATAAAAACAGAGAGGAGGACAAATCATAAGATACTCTTAAATACAGAGAACCAACTGAGGGTTGCTGTGGGGGTGCTGGGTGGGGAGCTGGGATAAATGGGTGGTGGGCATTAAGGAGGGCACCTGTTGGGAGGAGCACCGGGTGTTCTATTTAGGGGATGACTCACTAAATTCTATTCCTGAAATCATTACTATACTATATGTTAACTAACTTGGATTTAAATAAAAGAAAAAAGAAAAGAAAGGAAAAACGAAAAAGAAATAGACAAGCAATAGACTGAGTACAGACCCTGTCCTGATGTCTGGGGCTCTGGGGGTGGCTCCCACAAAAAACACATTTCTGCTTCATCTTTGCCTGTCTCTCTTATTCTTTCCCTGATGTTTAAATGCAAATTTGTCCAATATTGTAGGAGCTACAGTCAAAATAAATCTAAATAATAAAGATTGTTCTGAGAAAAAATAAAATAGAGCATCGCCATCGAGATGGACGAACTCCAGCTGCCTTTAGGTCTGTATGTTGTTCCATTCAGGGGTCAGTTCCTGAGAGACCTGACTGGCCTGGCTCAGGTCATGTACATTTTTCTTCCCTTGGGGAGATACTTACACATCTCAACAAGACCATCCCCAAAGAGGGAATGACAGATATCCAAAATGAAATCAAGGCAGGTAAAAACAATGGACACCTGCTAGTGACTTGCCATCAGATTTCTGTCTCCAGCCCTTCTCCCTTTCAGCGTGAGGGCCTCCAAGCTGCACCCACTGCCCCGTCTGGTCCTCTCCCAGCACCTCCCTCCCCCTACCATGCTCATTCACACCGAGATTTAGGAGGTGACCGACAGTCTAGTCCAGTAAGATCATTTTAACCAGAGTGTTAGTAGATCACGTATCGTTTCTCCCAGACAACATTTGAAGATCCATCCCTAAACATGCCGGCCTGAGAATAATCAAGAAGATGCCAAGCACCACAGCAGAGCCAGTGCAGGAGCCATGTTGAGCCAAGGAGACTTTCGGTGCCCAGCAAAACAGCCAGGTCCTGTAGTCAGACCCCCTGGGGGTGAGGGGAAGATAAAATCACTGCAAAGATTGTGACGTGTACTTCTTTTTTACTTCTGTCTGAATGGCCTTTAAATAAACCCTCTTTGCAAGGAGAAGGATGATGGCTCTTCTCTACCCACTACCCCACTATTCCTAATATACTCATTTTACAGATGAGAAAGCCTACACAGAAGTATTATATGGCTTCCAGAGCGGAAGAGGATGGTTCAGAGTGAATGTGGTTGAGCAAGGATGTGAGCTGAAGTCTCCAGATCCCGAGAAAGGATCTCATGCCTTTCACCAAACTCTTACTGTGTCCCCTTCACCTGACATAGTAGCCTCTGGACACCAGTCCAAGTGGTCACTCCTCACTAGCAGATGATGATGAAAACCATGTGCCCTGTCTCCTAACCCCCTCACAGAGGGAGCGACTAACCAGCGGAGGGCAGAGGCAGCTAGAGAGAAATGCATAAAGTATATTCAAGCCACAACAATGTTTCCCCCAAAGTCCCAACTCCTAAACCATTAACTGATGGTTAGTAGCCCCACAGGCTCCTGTACGTATGCCTACAGGGTAGGGGCTTTCAAAGGCTTAAAGCTTACTTCATATGCTCCATGCCAATCATCACATCCTTTTTCATTCTTTGATTCTTGGAATAATTAAATAAATTACTTTTAAAAAACATATGTTATTTCATAGAGCATCCAGATTGTGATCTCTAAATACAATTTAAAACAAACAAAACAAAACAAAAAACAAGAGATCCCTAAAGAAATGGCTAGCTCTAGGTCTGGGGCAAGAAATATACAATGAAACGTGCAACATGTTTTCATTCCAGGAATCAAGGAAGTCAAGATGATGATCAAGACCATCAGAATTGTGTCAAAAAGAACTAGAGGTTCCCTCTCAAATGGATCAACCTGGACATCAATTTTTTAAAAAGATAATTGCAGAAGATTGAAGCAAATTAAATTTGCTTAAATCCATGGTGTCATATGATGCAAAAAAAAAAAAAAAACCAAAAAAACACCTCATTGACTACCTTTAAAAGATGCTACATTTAACATAACAAATTCCAGGAGCACCTGGTAGCTGAGTTGGTTAAGCATCTGACTTCAGCTCAGGTCACGATCTCCAGGTTTATGAGTTCAAGCTCCACATCAGGCTCTGTGCTAACCTCTCAGAACCTGAAGCCTGCTTCAGTCTCTGTCTCCCTCTCTCTCTGCCGCTCCCCTGCTCATGCTCTGTCTCTCAAAAATAAATAAATGTTTAAAAAAATTAATAAAATGAAATAACAAATTCCAATTTGTTTTTCTGAAAACTGGGAAGGAAAAAAGGGAGGGGGAGGTCAAGAAATCAAAAATGTACTCTGCTCTTCTTATATAAAGGTATCTGGAGAAAGCCAAATCATTGATGAGACATAGTTTCTCACACTTGAAAAACCCAGCCAATAAATGAGGAAGGAATGACACATCAAGAATCTAAGTGCTTTGCAGACCCCTAGTGAAAGGATGGAGCTAGGCAATGATCATTGACTGGATGCTGATAGAAGTCACCAAAGAGAGAGACAAATGGAAATGGCAAGACAAATGGACTCTGAACAACACACACACCCTCATTTCTCAAGTACTCTTACCAAAAAAGTAACCCTAAACTGGATCAGCCTCTAGATCTGAGTGCCTATTTATAGAAAATATGAAAGATAAATAAGAAGACAATGTGGGGATACAGTAGGGCACATGACCCAGCTTCTTGAATGACGAAATTGGACATGGAGAGGGAGAGACAGGTGGAGGAGTAGAAGAACG